AGCAGAACCCTGGGAAAAAAACAAAAAAATAATCCCGAGCAGAGATTCGGGGGCTGGGGGGGGGGAAGGTCTCCTCAGGATTGTTTTTTGTTTTTGTTTTTTTGTTTTTCCAAGGGTTCTGCTGGATTCCGCTCCCGATACTGGAATCCGATTGGGAAGAGGAGGAGCAGAAGAAGGAGGAGGATGAGGAGGAGGAGGAGGAGGAGGAGGCGGGGGAGGGGAGGAGGAAGAGGAGGAGGAGGACGAGGAGGAGGAGGAGGAGGAGGAGGAGGAGGAGGAGGAGGAGAAGGAGGAAAGAGGAGGAGCAGGAGCAGGAGGAGGAGGGAGAGGAGGAGGGGAGGAGGGGGAAGAAAAACGAGGAGGAAAAAGGAGGAGGAGGAGGAGGGGGGGAGGGAGGGAGGAAGCGCGAGCAAGCACGCCGCACCTCGACCGAGGCTCAAGCAGCTCGCGGCGCGCTCGCGCCGACACCGCGCCCTTCGCCCCGCCCCGCCACCCCCCTGGCATGGGGAACCCCAAGCCAGGAACGGCCGCCCACGCGAAGAAGAAGGCGCGCAACGCCGCCTACAACGCCCGCAAACGCGCGGAGAAAAAGGCCGCCGCCCTCGAGGCGGTGGTCGAGCCTAACACGAGGAAGATCGCGCGGCTGGAACACAGGGTGGGCGGATAGACAAACCTGACGGTGCGCACGGTGCGCACGGTGCGTGCCTTGTGCGCAGTGTGCGTGCGCCATGTGCGCGCGGTGTGCCAGGTGCGCGTTGTGCTTCATGCGTGCAGCTTGCGCCGCCCCAGGTGGACTTGGTGCGCGACCACAGGCAAGACTTCTGGGAGCAGCTGCAGAAGACGAAGGACTTTCAGAGGGGGGGCGCTTCGCAAAGCGACAGAAAGAGAAACCAACCGCCCCTAGGAGGAGCTGAAGGAGACCCAGAAGCAGCTGAAGGAGGAGAGGCGCGCCCGCGGGAAAGCGGAGAAGGAGCGCGACGACGCCAAGCGCAGGCTCTGCTCCTTCCAGACTTGGTGGAGCGTCTTCCTCAAGCTGTGCTTGCAGGACTGCGCTGGGGGAAGGGAGGGCGCGGGCAGGCAGGGTAGGGGGCGGCCTCAGGAGCTGCCGAAGACCTGGGCCACGGAGGTCAAGCACTGGTCTGAGAGCGGAGTGAGGCACTTGCGCTGGCTGTGGTGGTGCTGTGGTGGTGCAACGAGAACGGGGACTAGCGCAGAGACAACAGCGCGCAGCGGGGCGCGGGAAAGAAAGCCGCTCGCGCGGGGCGGGGGCGGGCTGGCGCGCAGGGGCAGCAGCGCAGGGGCAGGGGGGCAAGGGAAGCGAGGGAGGAGGAGAAGCAGGAGAAAGAGGAGGAGGAAGAGGGACAGGAGAGAGGGGGCGGCGGCTGCTTTTCAGGGCATCCTCAAAAAAGGATGCCCCCCTCTAGCGGACGTGAGCGCGGACCGCAGCGATGACGGTGCACATTTGCATCGGTGCCGACGCTAGGAGAGGAGGAGGAGGAGGCAGGCGGAGGGGGAGGAAGGGGAACGGAAGGAGGAAGAGGAGCAGGAAAAGGAGAAGGAGGAGGAGCAGGGGAGGGACCCAGGAAAAGAAAGCTATGCCGTACTATGCTATGTTGTGCAGCGCAACGCAACGCAATGCTATGCTACGCTTAGCTCTGCTACGCTATTTGCGCGATGCTACGATTGGCAATGCTATGACTTGCTTCTCTCTGTCGCGTGCCAGACGGTGTGACCCAGCAAATGGCTCACTTCGACTTTTTCAAAGGCGATTTATACGTTCAAAGCACTGGGTACTTTTCCAGCGGAGCTTGAGCTATGTCGGGGAAGAAGGGCCCCCCGCGCGAACGCCATGCCGCACCACCCCGAGCCGATGCAGAAAACATATACCGCTGTCTCACTCATCGTCTTCGCTTAGCGGTTGCCGCCGACGTTGCCGACGTTGTCGTTGACGCTGCCGCGCTCCATGCAGTTTTGCCTTAAAAACGCAGGGGGCCCAAATGAGCTTGTAACCCATAAACTTTTTGCGCTCCGCGCAGATTTCTTGGATCCGTGCTGGGCCCCCCTCCCTGGCGCGCAAAGCGCCCCCCCAGAGGGCGGCGCCGGAGGCGCCGCCGGCGGGGGCCCCCAGCGCGGATCCAAGGAATTCCCGCGGAGCGCCAAAATTTTATGTTTGTGGTGTATTTTTTCTTCTTCGAATCATTGAAGCAGGAAGGCGCTTAAAGTAGATTAGAATCTGGGACTCCAGACTTTGGGCGCCCGAATTGTCCGGGGTAACTCGGGTCCAGGGTAACTCGGGTGTGGATCCCGAAAAACGAACCCGAGAAGCCCTGATCCGAGTCGCCCCTGATGATGTGGGGCTCTGGACGCCCGAATTATCCGGGGTAGCTCGGGCCCGGGGCAACTCGGGTTCGGAGTCCCGAGCAACGAACCTGAGTTAGCCCTGACCCGAGCTACCCCGAGTTAAAGTAGACTGGAATCAGGGACTCCAAAACCATTGGCGGTGCGCACAGGGGGGTGGAGGGAGGGGGGAGGGCTTCTTAGAGGGAGGCTTCTTCTTAGAAGGCGCTGGCCTTACATCTATAGAGAAGGCCCGCGCCTTCTGAGAAGCAGGGGTGCTTCTAAGAAGGCGGCTACCTCTTAGAAGGCGCCAGCCGCCCTTCTGAGAAGCCAGGGGCGCGCCGCTTCTCAGAAGCACCCCAGCAGCTTCGTAGAAGCGCAGAACTGTTTCTAAGAAGCAAGCCGCCTGCTTCCTAGAAGCACGCCAGGAACAGCTTCCAAGAAGCAGCCACGAGCTTCTCAGGGGGGGCGCCCGCGCTTTCTCAGCAGGGGGACGCTCCTAAGAAGCCCTCCCCCCTCCCCCCACCCCCCTCTGCGCGTGGCTGGAAAACTGCCTACTTTCAACTACCGACGGGTGCGTTCCCCCCTGCAGCTCCATGCGCTGACGCTCCGGCCACGGGGGGCTCTGCGGCAGCACCCGGGATGCTCACAGGGGCCCAGGGACACACACATAAACACACACACACAAATTCCAGGAGTCCCCACATATTTTTTGGGAGTTTTCGTCTTCACCCCCACTTCCCACTTTCTCCTGGAGATCGACGATCAGTTGTGTCTATGTGGCTTTCCCCCTCCCGAATGCTGCGCGGCAGGCGCCCTCGTCCCCGCACGGCCCGCGGCATGCAGGGGCGGGAGGGGGCTTCACGGCACCCCACCGCCCTAGCAGAAAAGGTCGGCCAGGTTCTTCTCGGCGGCGAGCCAGGGTCGGGCCGGGCGAGAGGGGGGGACAGCAAAGGGGGGGTTTGAGAATCAGCTCACGCAGCGGATTCCCGGCGCCTCCGGGCGCCGGCGGCGGCTATGTCTCGAGGAATGGGCCCCTCGGTGGGGCCGAAACCAGCTGCACGCGGCAGATTTCGTAGCCCCCCCTTTCTTTAATCTCCCCTTTCGCTCGGCCTGACAGGCGGGGGGGAGACGTGAGGAGAAAGAGGCCTTTTGAGAAGGCGCCGGGACTTTTCCGAAGCCCTTCGGCCTTCGGAGCAAGGTTCTGCGTCTTCGGGGAAGGCTTAGAAAACTTGTCAGAAGGCCGGGGGGCTTCCGAGCCTTGTGAGAAGGCCTTCTCTTTCTCATTTTCCCCCCGAGCTCGCCGTCGATGTGCATCCCGCGAATCACGTTCTTACAATCCCATGGCCCGGCGAGGGCCCCCGGAGGCCAACAAAAATCAGCGAGAAGCCTTCCGCCGCGATGCTTGCGCGACGCGAGGGGGCCCGGGGAGGAAGAGGGAAGCAGGGTTAAGTCGGGCGTGTCCCCCTACAGGGGGATTTCCAACGAAAAATAAGCCATACCAGCAACAGACTCCAACATGGTCAACAAATACTCAAAAAATAGTCCCCAGACTGTTTTTGTTGACTACCAGACTGTTTTGTTTGCATTTTTTTTGAAATTTCTCCTGTAGAGGGACGGGCCCGACTTAAAAGTAGGGGCGAGGATAAGCCGAGGATGGGGGGGGACGGACGGGACCCCGAGAACCGACATGATACGAAAGAAGCGCAACACCGCGAAAGAGCACGACCAGAGCCCCGGAGCGCAAACTCGGGGATGGACAGACCTCCCTTCAGTAAAACGTGGTTCAGCGAGAACGACCTGAGGCCCAAACCTCGCGGGCGCCAGCCTGGAAAATAACGGCCGCGGCGCCCTCTCGAGGGCCGAGAACGGACAATTCACGAATCGACGTGTCCCTGTGGGGGTTTCTGCCCGCCCCCGACAAACTCCGGCGGCCCTCTTCGGGGCGGGCCGATCCGTGAGGACTGGAGGGCAGAAGACCAGCCCAAAAGTCAGCACCCGTGTAATTGAGCGAAGCCTCTGGCAAACGCGCCCGAGAAAAAGAAAAGTTGCACAGGGCAGGCCTGGGTAGTTCTCGCCCAAGGGCTGCATACATATATATATATATATATATATAAATAAATGTATATATATATATATATATATATATATATATATAGTGAGCGCCATCTGCTTTGTGTAGGGGTCGGGGTGCTGCCGCCTCCCCTGAAAATGGCAACGCCCAGATCTCACGGGAGGCCGGCGGGGCGGCATCCGGGCCAAGGAGGAGGAGGAGGACTCGGCTGCACGCAAGAGGGACCCCGGGCACGAGTGACCTTATTGGTGCGCGGCCTCCGGGGGGGGCGCGGGGAGGCAGAACCCGAGCGCGCAGGCCGCTGATGTCATGTCGCGTTGAGCTTACGTCGGGCGTGTCCCCCTACAGGGGGATCTCCGACGAGAAATTTTAGAAAATACTCCAACAAATGCGCCAACATGGTCAAACATACTCCAACAATAGTCCCCCATACCATTTTTTGACTATCTTGAAAGTTTCCCCCTGTAGGGGGAGAGGCCCGAAGTAACGTGAAGCCATCGGGGGGCCCCTGGCGTGCCCGCACCGAGGGCCACTTCTGCGAACGGTCCCTCTTGCGCGCAGCCGAACGAGGGGCGCGCAGGGTGCTCGCAGGTCCTCTGCCAGGCGGGCATCTCGGCGAGGGCCGCGACGCTCTGCGAGAGGCACCGCAAGTGCCTCGCGTCCTGCGGCGCCCCCACCGGGCTCTTCTCTGCGCTGGCGCCGAGGGGGAGGGACTCCGAGGGGGCGTTTCCTCGGCCGGTCTCGCCCCCCTCACGTTGCGACCGAAGTGAGGAAGAGGATCATCCTCGTCCTTCCCCTCCTCCCCGGTGGCACGATCCGTGTCGAATAATACGATACGATCCACTCTCGCGCGTCTGCCGAGCTTGCATGTAGGACTCCTTCCAAAACTTCATCACCGACACGAAGATTCCGTCATCGTCGTCGGCGTGATTGGCATCGGCGCCGTCATCGCCACTGTCATCATCGTCATGTCTACACTTGTCGTCACCAGCATCGCCACTATCATCGTCATCGTGTCTACAATTGTCGACGTTGCCATGATACCGCGCCCGCCCAAGCCGCCGACTCGCACACAAGTGCCCGCTGGGATGTGCCGAGGCCGTGGACAGCCAGCCATCTGCCCTGAGATCCAGGAGTTGCCCCGTCTTCCCGCCGCGCGTGCTGGGCCCGCTTCGGGCCCCTGGGGGCCCTCGCAGATCGACCTGAGGCTCGGGCAGAGCCGGGCCGCCGGAGGACGGGGTCCGGGGCTCCGGTCGTGACGTCTCGCGATGTTGCAGCTGCTTCGCGTCGAACCTTATAGCGAGGGGGACTGGCTCGTAATGCGGGATGGCGATTTATTAAAAAATGGGAGAGAACGATTAAAACAATAGTTTTCTGCTATTTCTGCACAATTTTCTGACTGGGGGAGAACGATTAAAAAATAGTTTTCCAGCCCGCGGCCGGTTTTTTCTAATCGTCATCTTGGGCGCCGCCGCGTGAACACGACCCCCGGTCATTTATTAATCGTCATCCTCCATTGAGGGGGGGACACCGACCGGTAATCGGAGCAGGATGGAGGGAGTGGCTCAGGGTCACACACACGCGAGCAGATACAAATCCCAGGGTTCCGTATATCTTGATGTATTTCTGGATTTTCGTCTTCCCCCCCACTTCCCATGCTTTCCCGTGCCTTCGTGGGAATCGACGTTTCTTCGCGTCTGTGTCTACATTTCCTTCCCTCCTGGAGGAATGCCTCTCGTGGCCATGCCCGGGTCGCCCGAAGGGTGGGGCGGCGGGCGCACGGGCGCAGTGGCAAGACCACAGCGGGTGTTGCACGGCGCGCTCCAGAAGGGGCCTCGCCTCCGAGGGGCCGAAGGAGTTGCCATCTCGTTGTCGGCAGACGGCGGCAGGAAACCTGGCGGACGCAAAACGAGCCCGCCTCCGCCGGCGGAAGGCTCACGAAGGCAAACAGATGTCTTCCAAGAGGTGGCACCTTTTGGGCCTTCAGGGTTTCCAGAACCGGCCAGCTGGCGTCCTCGGTGCCCCCAGCGTTCCCATCCATCCGGAAGCCCCCGAGGCCCGCTGGGCCTCGCAGCGGGTGCGCGGGAGGCCGTGCGAGCCTCCCTGGAGATCCCGGGGGCACCTCGGGCCAGGGAGGCCCTGGGCCACCCCCGCACGAGCGCCTTGCCGCAGACGCTGCGGGGGGAAACGCTATACGTGGGGTACAATATTTACGTCGGGCCTGTCCCTCGACAGGGGGAATATTCAAAAATAGTCAAACAAATAGTCTGGGGGCTCTTTTTTGGTACTTTTGGGCATTGTTGGGGTATTTTTGGGGGGTATCTTCAATGTTTCGCCCAAAATCCCCCTGGGGGGGGGGCCTGGCTCGAGGGGGGAGGAGGCACCGGCCTGGAACCGGCGACGCGTCGCCGGCGGATCGGCGACGGCCCCCCCCCCCGAGAGCGAGGCCGCACGCTCCCGGGTGGGGTGGGCCATCGCTCGGACGTCCATTTCCCGTGCATTTTTCGGTTTCGTGCGTGTTTTTTTTGCGCGATGGTCCAGGATGGTCCTCGATGGTTCTCGCCGAGAAAAAATGCACACGTCCGAGCGATGCCAGGGGTGGGGTGGGCCATCCCCTGCCCGCGACGAGTGGGCGATTGGCGACTGGGGGGTCGGTGCGCTCCCTCTTTGAGCCCGTCCCCCCGCGTTGCCCCTGACGAAGGCGCCACCGCAGCGCCCCGACGTCTTGGTGGTTCCGGATCGTGTCGGGGACACCCGGAAGTCCAGGATGCACTCCCGAATGGGCCAGTTTCTTATCCTGGGGGTCCCAGGCCTGGCGAGGGCCCTCGGAAACCGAAAATAATAAACCTTCCGTCGTGCTTTTGAGCAGGGACCGGCCGTCCTGGCACTCCTATAGGCCTACCACGAAATTCTCTTAGAATCCATTCGACGTTCGAATAACAATAACAATCTTCTTATAACATGAGCCCGATGTGTTCAAACAGGACAGCCCCAGCCAGAAAGGTTCTGAGAGCAGTTCGTTGAAACCGCAGAAACGTTCTTAGAACATTCTTGGCTAGGCCTATTAGGCGAGCCAGGACGCTTCGCCACCGCTTGATGTTTCTCACGGCGCGAGGGGGTCTGGGATGGGAAGGCCTCGGGCTGCGCACAAGCAGCCCCCCACGGCCCCAGCTGGCCTGCGACGCCTCCCGCGGCGCCCCTGGGGGGGCCTCCGCGCCCCGAGGTTGCTGCGCCGAGACCGCCCCGGACTCCTCGCAGGGGCCCGTTGAGGCTCGAGGCCAGCTGGGACTACGCGGGTGGCCTGTCGAGCCAGCTGGGACTACCTGTTGGGGGGCTTCTTTAGGCAACCCGACGCCTTACCGGCCCTGAGATCTGACGTTGCAAACAAGATGCAACATCGCAAGAATCACCGCCAGAAGCTGGGTCCCCATCTTCCTGCTGTACTTTTCGAGCCGGATCGATCAGTGAGGGTGCCGGGACCCGAAACCTGGCGAAAACACCCAGCTCGAACACGTCGAGACGCCAGGATCTCAGGGTAGAACTTTCCTCGGTCCTACTGTGCTAGTATGGTAGAACCCTGCAGCGACACGCCGCGGTGCCACGGTGAGGAACTTTTGCTCAACGTGTCGCGGCGGCGGCCCTGGCGACACGCTGTGCCCTGCCAGCGGATGGCGTGTCGCCCCGCTGCCCCCACGTCGTGCTTTGCCCAAGGCTCGAGGGGGGTGACATGAGGGAGGCGCGCGGAGCTGCGGCAGGCCGGGGCTCCGCGAGCCCCTGCGGGCCGGGCTGGCAGGGCTGTCCATCGGATCGACGAGTCGGATCGGCGGAGAGCGGCGGGCTGACGATGCCCCCGTTGGGGAAGCCGAGATCCAAGGTCCGGTCGCGATCGGAGTCGGAGTCGGAATCGAACCGAAGTCGAGTCGAAGCCGAACCTCGGATTCCAAACTTCGTGGGGAACCAAAAGGTTACTGATAGCGCTACTCCCCGAACCTCTCATGCGCGCGTTCTGACCCGGATTTCGAGGGGAAAATCCAGCGGTGGCGACGATGGCCTCCCATGAGGCCCAAGGGAGGGAACACGAGGCAATGGTAGCGGTGTGGTGTGGGCACCTTTTCCTCCTCCGAGTTCGGGATCCGAGGTTCGGGATCCAGATCAAGCCCGAAGTCAAACCGAATCGAGCCGGAGGAGTCGAAAGTCTCGCGGGGCCGCGGACGGGGCCGCGCTGGCCGCGGGACCCGCGCGGGGGGCCGCGGGGACCCTCTCGGCCCGTGGCCGTGGGGATGGGTGACGCGTGGCGGTGGTCTGTGCGGAGAGAGGGCGAGCGAGAGGGAGAGAGAGAGAGAGACTGGCAAGGGAGAGACAGAGAGAGAGAGGGAGAGGAGGCGGAGAGAGAGGGAGAGAGCGAGAGAGGAAGAAATATAGAGAGAGAGAGAGAGATATGGATAAAGAGAGACAAAGGCAAGAAAGGGGAGAAGGGAGGACGGGGTGTAAGGAAGGCGGAACTAAGTACGCGTCGTTGGAGGTTCTGTGGGTGGGGTCGTAGGGGTACGGGGAGTCCCATGGGGTTGTAGGGATCCAAGAAATTATCCTCCCCTCAGTCTTCTTCTTCTTCTCCTCCTACTCCTCCTTCTCCTCCTCCTCCTCCTTCTGCCCCTCCCAGCTCAGAGGGCCAGAATATAAGGCTCTTGGCCGCCCAGGTGGTCTCCCAGCTCAAGGGGGCGGAATCTGGAGGCTCCTGGGCGCC